ATTTATCAATATACAACTTTAATTTTACCATGAAGAAGAGGAGAGAAAATGAGAAGAGGAGACTCAAGCGAGAGAAAACATTGGTTTGAAATGATTGCCAATTCATTTTCCTTTCATATTTTAAAAAAAAAAATCAAAAAAAATTTTTTTTTTTGAGGGGGTGGGGGGCACCTGCCCCCCCAGGTCACCCCCTAGGTCCGCCCCTGCGTGAAGGTAAATATTATTGTCATTGGATTATTTGGAAGGTAAATGTTTACTAGATTGGGAGGTCTCGCTAGCCGTCTCTTACTATTTGGCAAGGTTTTAAAATGTGTAATATGCGACAATGCATTTCGATCGAGTATCAAGCAATATAAGAATATGCGTGCTTACACGAACCATATACGTAATTATACGTTTTCTAATTTTTATTATAATTTTGAATATTCTAAACTAATAAATAAATAAAATAATGTATTCTTTAAACTTTATACATATTTTTCAAGTTTTAGAAAAAAAAACAATATTCAAAATTATAAATACTATAATTACTTGGTAATCAAGTCCTGCAATTAAATTATGGATTAATTGCAATAGCGATCCCAAATCTTTGAATTTTTCGTAGACTTTATCCTAATTTTCAGTTTGTGCCACCAACGGTCTCAAACCTTTGAAAAATTAGCACATGAGATTCAAATGGATGATTTCTGTTAGTTTGACTGTTAGTTGACTTATAATTATGTGTTTTCTAATTTTTATTATAATTTTAAATATTCTAAACTAATAAATAAATAAAATAATGTATTCTTTTATACATATTTTTCAAGTTTTAGAAAAAAAATATTACTCAAAATTATAAATATTACAATTACTTGGTAATCAATTCCTGCAATTAAATTATGGATTAATTGCAGTAGCGATCCCAAATCTTGAGTTTTTCGCATACTTTATCCTAACTTTCAGTTTGCACCACCAACGATCTCAAACTTTTGAAAAATTAGCACCTGAGATTCAAATGGATGATTTCCGTTAGTTTGACTGTTAGTTGACTTATAAATTTGACTTTGACTAAATCTAAACCATTTTTGAAATGGTAAAATGATAACTTTACATGTTATACATAAAATATGGTAAAAACTAAATTTAAAAACAAATCCAAAAAAATAAAAAACACATATAAACCCATCATCTTCCTTATGCACATCCCCACTCTACCAAATCAAAACCAGAAAATTGTCCCCGTACATATCCAACCGTCACCGATCCACACCACCACCACAACTCCCCTCCCCCAAATCAACCAACTACCCTAATCAGATAACCCCGTGGAAGAGACTTCAACAAACTCGAGTGGTGGTCAGTAATCTGATGCGAATAAAGGAAAATTGCAACTTTTCAATTCCAATTTTAACAAACGATGGCAAAAGATGAGACAATTTCACTTGTTCTATCATTATTTTTTGTTTTCTATTTAATCTCCAACTTTTTGCCATTTTTTTGCTGTGAATTCTTGGTGGCCATCGCTAGCCAAAGCTATTGCCATTTTGTTCAAAGTAATATGAGAAATAACGGCAATGTCAGTGGAGGAGCGGTGGTGGTGGTGGCAATAGAGAGGGTAAGAAGGGACCAACTGGTTTTGGGTTTAGGAAGAGGTGGGGTGTGGGGGCAGGTGTGTGAAGGAGAAGATGAATAGATATTGGGTTTTAATTTTTAATTCAAAGTTACCATTTTATCCATTAAAAAATGGTTTAGATTTGGTTAAAGTCAAATTTATAGGTCAACTAACGGTCAAACTAATAGAAATCATCCATTTGGACCTCAAGTGTTAATTTTTCAATGGTTTGGGACCGACAGTGACACAAATTGAAGGTTAGGGTAAATTCTGCGAAAAATCTAAAGGATTGGAATCAGTGCTACAATTATCCCTTAAATTATACATGAACATTGGCTTAAAAAATCCTAAATATTGTCTAACTTTTTATTGAATTCCAATTCAAACTTCTCTCCATCCAATTCATCTTTCGTGTTATCCGATGTAAAGTAATCTTCATCGGGCACTCTTATTTCAACTCGAAAATTTTTATTACCACTTGTACATGATATGATATCATTGTTAACCTTGTCCTCATCATCACAACCATCAATAATCCAAGATTGTTCATTACTAGCATCATTTGCTAGAGAAATATCAAAGAAGAATGAGGCTCGGGCTTGGCGTAGATATTTTACAACTTTACGAAAAAATTGTTTTGATTTTTAATTTTTTTAAACATCAAAACCCTACAGACTATGTATATAATTCAAAGGCTTTGATAATTTGAGTTAATTTGATGTTTGTTGAGTTCAAATTTTTATTTATTATTATTATTTTTTTTAAGTTATCAAAATGGGCTGAATTTTGTTAAGCTAATTTTTGAAACATTTTTTAACACAAATGCGTGTGCATTCTAACTTTTAAGCATGCATATATGATCAACGAAATGGGTTGACATTATCACGCGCATACCCCATATGCGAGGCGTTTCAAAAACGTATCGAGCATATGCTGGTATATGTAAAACATACGCGCGCAATTTAGAATGCTGGTATTTGGTATATGTACGTAAATTCATAGAATTCAAGATTATGTAGGATTATTCACAAAAATTATTTATTTGTGTATATTTGATTGTGCTTAAAAGTTATTTTCCTACAAAGTAAGTTAAGACTTGCTTCTTAGAAAAGTAACTTCGAAAATTATACTACACAAAATAAGTAATTTAAAAATAATTACAAAAAAAATTGTTCATATTTGACTTTACTTAGAAGATAATTGAAGAAAAAAAGGAAAATAAGTTACGGTAGTTGAAAAAGAAAATTTATAAAAATATGCATGACAAAAATAAGTAACTTAGAGATAAGTTTAACTCACAAGTCACATCTATGCACGACCCAACATGTTTCCTCAAAATAAGTTGTATCTTTTTCGTGTTTTTTAAATGCATGAAAATAATGTGGTGATTTAATCAAAGGTAGCATATCATCAAACAATATTCTCTATTAAAGGTTGATAGGACGTTTAGTTTTACTTCTGCTTCTTGGAAAATAGTTTCATGAGAAAGTTATTTTAAATCAATTTTTCCTAAAAACTCGTCTAACCAAATAAAACTCTTTAAAAAAAATATAAAATACGTTCAAAAATGATTTCTTGATCTCAGAAAACAATATTTGACTTGTCGAAAGTCCTGCCAACTGAACTCTAAATCTACCGCAATGAGTAGAGGGAAATGTCCATGTTCACAAATCACAAATTTGCACATTTTTCTCATACGAAAAACATAAAATTTTGCAAATCTTGGCCTATTTGCTTGATGGGTACC